TGCCGCGATTTGCGATGATTCTTGAGGCGTTTGGGATCTTTGGATGAACCAAAGCAAGCAAAAAAGCAACCCATCGCTTTGTAATTCAGAAACCCTGTAGCTACGTGTATTTGTTTGAAGAAAAATGCGCAGTAATCGCTTGGAAGAAGAAGAAGAAGAAGAAGAAGAGGATTCGGCTAATGGATTTTCATGGAAGATTCTCCTTCTCGTTGGAGAGGGGAAAAAGTGGTCTGCAAATTTGAAGTTTGGGCTGAGAGCTTACGGTTTTGTGTGATTAATTTTAAATTAATTGGTATTATACTCTAAGTGACCGTTGGGGATCGCATCATTCATATTGGAAGTCTAACAACCGGAGCCTGCAAAAAAATAAATAAATAAATAAATCAAGAAAAGGAAAATTAATTTATTGGGGTGAGAGAGGCTCGAACTCTCGACCTCAGGATTACTCAGAAGCTATGAGACCTACGCGCTAGCCAACTGCGCCACCACCCCTTTCGTTATTAGAGGTCCAACAATTATAAAATTTAAAATAAAAAGGAAAAAAAGGAAAAATAATTAATGGGGTGAGAGAGGCTCGAACTCTCGACCTCAGGATAACTCAGAAGCTATGAGACCTACGCGCTAGCCAACTGCGCCACCACCCCCTTGATTTTTGATTCGCACTTTTTTACTTTGCTTTCTATTTTGTTATTCGATAGGAATAATAGAGATTAATTTAAAAGTCGATCCAAAATTAATAATTTAATTATTACCGTTTGACTTTGAAAAAAAATTAATAATTAATAGGGAGGTTAAATGCCGGAATATATATATACCTAAATATCTTATACTTTTTATTGATTTTTTAATCTGTTAAATAAATATTTTACCTCAACATTCATTAAACGTAATATAAGTAATATGGATAACAAAACCGTTTAATTTAATTACTAAAAATAATTAAATAAGTACAAAATAATTAGAAATTAACCATAGATAATAATAATTTATATTAAATAGATAAAATAATATAAAAATATTAATTCTAAATGTAATAATTTATTAAGACTAAACTATGGTTAAAGAAAAAATAACAATAGTTTATAGTTATTACTTGTATAAAGAAATGCATGTTTTCTTTTTTAAAACTTGCCCCAAAGTAATTCTTACAAAATTTACTTAATTGACCTTCCGTTTTAAATTAAATTATGTTAGAAAAAATTAGAGTATTAAATCATTATGAAAAGTCAAAATTTTGACTTATAATTTTTAATAAATTATTTTTTTTCATAAAACAAATGGTTTGTTGAGTTGACAATTGTAAATTAAAAAAAAAAAAAAAAAAATTAATTAATATAATATGTTTGAACCTTTCAATTATCTAAAATAATTTTTCTTCAATAATATAAATAAATAAAACTATTTTCCTTATATTTGAAAATAGAAACTTATCCTTGATTTAAAAAACTAAAAATAAAAAATAAATAAAAAAGTAAGTTGGTTTTGGAGAGAGAAGGTTTCACACCATTTAATTATTTATTATTTGAATGGAAATAAAAATAACTCAAAGCAATTTATTAAGAAAAATTAATAGCTTTAATCACTGCTCAGTTTCCATTTAAGCCATCCATTTATAAAAATACCACCAAGTTTTTAAAAACAAATAAATAAATTATACCAATATTTTTAGTTGAGTTAATAGTTAAATAAACATTTTCCCGTAGACTTGGTAGAATGAAATCTATTTTAAAATGGCTAAGATTATTAGCGTCATGTATTTGAACGCAAAAATATGACTGTGAGAGTAGAAGTGCTTATGTAGGTACCGTAGATTGCTTTTCCGTAAAAGGAAGGTAAAACGGCATACACGTATGAAAAGTCTTATTAAGGCTAGTTTGTTGTTGTCTTAATATGCTTAAAGACGACTAGAACTACACTAGAGATATTAAATCTGGTTCGTTCATTTTGATTGGCCAATGATATATAAATTATTTAATTTTAAAATAATTTTGATTGAAACTAAAGATTAGAAGAATTTAATTAGTGAAATTTTATAATTGAAGAATTGAGTAAATTTGTTAACACGCGAGCGTTTTTTCTAAAAAACAAAATGATAGCGAAGCGATAAATAAGAATCTAGTTCCCTTCCTTTTCTGAAAAACAGATAAGTCCGTACGTTTGGCATGAAAAAAGGGAAAATTGCCAATATGGGGTAGTTTGGTAATTTAACTCCGCATGGCATTTTCGTAGTTTCCTTGACTACCAAGGGTAAATCCATAGGCCAAGTTCTATAAATAAAACCTCCCTCCTCCGCCTCGTCCTCTCAAAGACGAGCATCTTTCAATCTCTCTCTCTCTTTCTGTTCCACTGGTTTCTCGGTTTCTCCTCGTCTCCCGTTCTCTCAATTTTCACCTCATCGGGTTATTTTATTTTATTTTATTTTGTTTTTTATTTTAGGCCCCTTATAAATTATTAAATTAATTTATCAGGCTGGCCTGGGGGGCGTTTTATTTAAATAATTATTAATACGTAGAGATTGAGAGAATATATTTTGCTGACGTGGCGTGAACTGGCAGTAGTAGGTTTAGGTTAGAGGGTTAAGGGGGAGGGGCAGGATGAATACCACCAAAACGATGCGTTTACCTCCTCGTAGATTACTGACCTCAGACGGGCCCAGTTCCAGGCCCAATAAGAGGAAAGAGAGAAAGGGCTTTGATGATGAGGCCCACCAACTGTCATTCACAGCTAAAGTATCGAAGCCGACACCGCCTCAATCCAACCACCTCCTAGCCGGCTACTTAGCTCACGAGTTCTTCACCAAAGGCACCCTCTTTGGCCAAGCTTGGGATCATCCGGATGTGTCTATGGCGGCTTCACCACCTGACCCCTCCGAGAAACGCCAAGCCGAGCTGCATCCCAAGAATTACCAGTCCTACGTGGAGGTAGCTAATTTGTTGAAACACGGTGGGGCCCACTTTCAAGGTATTGTCAATCCCACCCAGCTAGCTCGCTTGCTAAACCTATGATTATATTTTAATTTTTTCCCCTTTTCTTAACCCTATCTGTGTAACATGTGGCGTGCTGTGGACCATTTTTTTTAGGGGGACCACCTGAATTTTAAATAAGAATTGAGAAAATTAATTTCCCTTTTATCTTAATGTAATCCGCCAATATTTTGTCCTCTCTTTTCAATTTAATTATAAAAATTAAATCCATTCCAATTGCATAATTTATTTATTCGAAGTGTAATTTATGGGTGAATTTAGAATTCGTAAAAATAAAAGTTTATTTATATATGAATTATTTAATTAATATATATTATTTTGTCCACTCAATTTTCTTCCACTAGTTATTTGATAGAATAAATGAAAATATTTTAGAGTATTTACTAAATTGTGTACAAATATATAAATTTTTGTATTACCAAAACTTTCTTAATTTAAGAAATGCATATGGTAATAAAGTTAATTTTTTTTTTTTAATAATATTACTTTATAAGACCATTAACTTTGAAATAAAATAGCTAAAATAGTTTAATTAATTAATTATGCTAATACCATTTTTATATTATTACAATAAAATAGATTTTGAAATTTTGTGAATTTAGATAAATGAATATTAAATCTAGGTTTGTGGCTTGGAATTTACAATATATATATATTTTTTTAATATAATTTACATGTTAATAAAAAAATAATAACAATATTTTTCTTACAAATTTGTTGGATGAGTAATTTATTTTTATTACTATTAAGTAATCAATCTCTTTTGAATAATTATTTTGTAAACCAAATCTTTAAGTTTGTTTTATTATTATTATTATTTTCAATTTTAATTTAATGTATTTACTTACTTATTATACAATACCACTAATTAACCTTTATTTGACTGATGTATTTTATTAAAAAATTGGTTAATATAGAGTAGAATAATATGTATGGTAGTAAATCTGGATTTTTAACGATTTTTCTGTAAAAAAAAAAAAAAAAAGGAATATTACATTTATTTGAGTCGCAAATATTTTTTTCGTAGGTATAATTAATATAGATTAGTTAATTATATGTTTTTATTTTATCAAAATTGTATAAAAAATGTATTTCATTTAAAATATTTTAACTATTTTTTCTGTTAAAAAAAAAAAAGAAAAAGAATATTACATTTATTTAAAATACTCGTATGCTAAGTCATATATTCTAAAAAAACATATAAATAAGTTTGTTTGGTATAATTTAGATGCAAATTATTAACTTACTCCTTATTCGAGTGAGTTTTATGGGCCGATTGGACTTGAAACTTCTCAAGCTCGAGCATTTACTTTTTTAGTTCGAGACGAGCTAATGTTGGATCCGTTAAGGAGCTACTGGTTTAGGCAAATATACAATACATTCTCCGATCGGAAAAGTCATTTTTGGAATATGTGTGCTCCTTGGTCAGAACCACTAAGATGTCCTAATAGTTTGGACTTGAGTAGACTGAAAAAAGACATACAACCTTGGTAGGAACGAGGTTTCGAGTAATATATTACATTTGCTCCTTTAGGTTCTTTAAATTTCGTGGTGGCGTAGCTATTGAAATTAATGCAGTCAATTATGTCTCCTAGAAGTTGGATAGCTACCTCTAATTTTGTTCTAGGATTCTTCCTATTCGGAGGTCATTTATGACATTCAGGAAGGACTCGCCGTAAGATTTGAAAAGGAATTGATCGCGATTTTGAACTCGTTCTTTTCATGACTTCTCTTAACCGAGACACGCGATCTAATGCTTTAAGTCAAAATCAATTTGATTCCACCGTATATATTAAGTTGGACGGATGGGTTTATATTTTAAAAGTTTTCAAATTTGTGTTAAAACATCATGAATGACGTAGGTGGATGGTGCAGGTGGATATTGACAATACTTATGAAAGTATTTTTTTAAAAAAATTAAATGACATAAATTATTTTTAAATTATATTTTATTTATGTAAAGAGTCCATTTATATCTTTTTATTTTTTTACTTACCCTAAACCCTAATTTTAAAAGACGTAATAGTAATTAACTAAATATTAACGTATATTAAAAATTTTAAATAAAGAAGAAGAAGAAAAGAAGAATTCGCTTCTTCTTCTCCCTCGCTGGAACGATCATTCTCTGCCTCCGCCATAAAAAGGCCATAAATTTCCTTCTGCTACCATCATTTTCTGCAGATTGTATCGATCGTTCTATCATACACGTCATGGTGAGAGGGTTGCTCAACAAGATCGTCTCTCGATCTCTTTCTGTGGCAGGCAAATGGCAGCAGCAACAGCTCCGCCGTCTTAACGTCCATGAGTATCAGGTTCTTTTTTCTAATACTTTGTTTAACTATGCGCATATACTGGATTTTGATTTCTGGACATGTTTAGCCGTCATAACATTTGGGTAATTTTTGTTTTTGGCGGCTTCTTGTATTTGATTTAAAATCCGCGAGAGAATTTTCATTTTGCCCACGAACTTTGTTTTTGTTGTTGTTTTTACTGTGGAGATCAGGGGGCTGAGTTGATGAAAAATATGGGATCAATGTGCCTAAGGGTATTGATATTTCTTCTGTTGATGAAGCAAAAAACGCAGTTCAAATTGGTTTTCCTGATGCGAAAGAGGTAAGCATGGGGCGTTTCTTTCTTTGGGCGCTTGCAAATTCTGAAGAAGTAGGAATCATTACAGTTGCAGTATGATTTTGGATGGCATTTTTGTTTAGAAATTGGGCATCGGTAATTGTACCTGCCCAAGCCCGGCAGCAGAGTCCTCTTCCCTTTTGGGTTTCCCCTCAAGGCTTTAAAACGAGTATGCTAGGGAAAGGTTTCCGCACACCTTTATAAATGGTGTTTCTTTCTCCTCCCAACCAATGTGGGATTGTGTCCCCAACCAATGTGGGTTCTCACAATCCACCCCCTTCGTGGACCAGCGTCCTCACTGACACTCGTTAATTTCTCCGATCGATATGAGTTCTTACAATTCACCCCCTTCGTGGTCCAGCGTCCTCACTGGCACTCGTTCCTTTCTCCAATCGATGTGGAACCCCACCAAATCCACCCCTTCGGGGCCCAACGTCCTTACTGGCACGCTGTCTCGTGTCTACCCCCTTCGGGAAACAGCCTCCTAGTTGGCATATCGGCCGGTGTCTAGCTCTGATACCATTTGTAATGACCCAAGTCCACGGATAGCAGATATTGTCCTTTTTGGGCTTTTCCTTTCGGGCTTCCCCTCAAGGCTTTAAAATACGTCTACTAGGCAAAGGTTTTCACATCCTTATAAAAGTTGTTTTGTTCTCCTCCCCAACCAAGGTGGGATTGTGTCTCCAACCAATGTGGGTTCTCACAATAATGCTAACGCGCCCATGGCAAAAACTTGGGCAGTTATGAGAATCATTATACAAAATTTGATGTTGTGCAGTTGGTCGTTAAGAGTCAAATTTTGGCTGGTGGAAGAGGTTTGGGAACATTCAAAAGCGGCTTAAAGGTGGAGTACACATAGTGAACGTGGAACAGGTTGAAGAGCTTGCTGGTAGGATGCGCTTTTGAATATTCAAGTTCTACCAAAAAAAAACCAGCAGTGTTTTGTTGTACATAGATGGTTACTCCTGAATTCTTGGAACTAGGATCATGAAATAAAATCCTTCCCCATTTTTTCCTATTCTGTGTGCAGGTAAGATGCATGGGCAGATACTTGTCACTAAACAAACTGGTCCTCAGGGCAAAGTTGTCAGTAAGGTAACATATGTCTTTTGACCCTGCGTAGTCGCTCGAGTTCCTTTATGCACAATCTTCCTGAATGTGTGAATCTAGATGTAATAGATTTTATGGATTCTGTTCTTCCTCCTCCGTTGTTTTTTTTGAAACATTGCCAAGGTTCTAATACTGTATAGCATTAGCTCCTCATGGCTCAATTTTTTGACTCAACAAGTTGGAAGAAGATTTTGCATTGGTTGAATTCACTTTGTGAGCAAGTGGAATGTTGCCTTTCTCTATAGTTTTTGTGGGCGTTCATTGAGCAAATTCACCTTGGAGTTGACAAAGACCCTATTATTTAAGCATCGAACTAGACTTTCTAAAGCTATTTTTGGGTCAACTTGCATGCATCTAGACTAATCTCACGAGAGAATCCGCTTGAACCTACAACATTTGGGTGCCAAGCAAACTGATCGGAGATTAAATCCTAAGTAACGTGGTCACCACCTCATATTGAACCCATTGGCTAAGCCTTTTATTTATTATACTTATGACCCTTATTGATGTTTTAATGACTGAATTAATTTGATTTCCTTCTTTTTCTTTGTATATCTAAATGCAGGTTTATCTCTGTGTGAGAAGTTGTCACTTATCAACGAAATGTACTTAACTATCACTCTGGATCGTAAAACTGCCGGTCCAGTATGTTCTATTACAATGCGTGCCTATACTTGGTTTGTTTAAAAATAAAATAAAGGTTGTTATTGCAATGTTTTTGGTTGTTTGGCAGTGTTGGCAAGCAAGGAGCGATGTTTTGATGTCATCCATTTGTTTGTTGTTTGTTGTTTGGAAGGTACGTATTGATGTTTTCCAAGGAATTACAGACGAAGACGCTGCGAAGGTGGTGATAATCAGCTGGTTGCTGCTGATGCTAAGCTGAAGTTTGATGATAGAAAAAGCAGGAGGATGCTGGAGAGGTGTGGTTTTTGTCATTGTTTATAGGAGAATGCATGAAAATGCACATGAAGGGCAGGTAAATATTTAACAATAATAATATAATTTAGAAAATATTGAGTACCTTGTTTGCCGCAAAACGAAAGAAGCCAAAATTTTAATAATAATGAGTAGCTTTTTTTTGCTGAGATGCACGAGTTTTAGTGGTTGAATCTGTAACCTCCCAGATTATCTAATAATATGTTATTTCAAAATTTGATTTTCCCACCATGAATGCAGCCGATCCATTAACATCTGATTGTTTCCACAAGATAACATAAAATGGTTATCTCGTTGGAGCATTGACCATTACTACAATGCCAGCCTTGGGGGAATAAATATAGCGCAATACTAACACAAACTTCATCAGCAGCTAGTTTTATACAAGAAATGAGATGAAAATTCAACCAGACAATAAAATATAAATTCTCAACATTACCGAAGAATGAAATATGAAGAAGATGAGGAAGATTATTGAGAGCCGAGATCAGTCATAAGAAGGTGCATTTGTTGTCTCAAGTGCAGAACCTGCAAGGAATAATATGGATATACTTTTTTTTTTCAACCAAAGCAGAAAGGAAACAAAGAAGCTCAAAGCTGGATTACCTCATCCTGAAGCGAAGCAGAAAGGTTCTTTTCTGCAACAAGTGTGTTAATGTCTGCCAACAGCTTCTCTTCTTTAACGGTGGACCAAATATGTTGGGGCAGTGATAGCAACAATATGGTTAGAACATCAACAACAGATGGCCACTCACAACAACACTCATCTGTTTTACACAAAGGTACCAACATATCTACTACCCCTTGTTTAGTACTAACATTACTAACAACGCTCCCTGACACCACCACTGCTGCCTTCTCATTTTCACCATTCAGAAGATGGATATCGGTTTTGCAGCAACTTCGATCAGCCGAGCATCGTTTCCCACCTAAAGTTTCTGCCCCTTGAGAACAAACACTTAAAGCAATTGCATGTAATTCATCTTTGTCAAACGAAGATGTCAAGCCTTTGCATAGTGTCTCAGATGCCAACCATTGTTTGACATGTTTGAAGAGTTCAGTCGCTCGGAGTTGTTCCAATATCTCTTCCTGAGATTCCCATACTTAAACCTCATAAAACAAGTCATAGCAAGAAAAATAACAGAAGCAAGCTCTAGATTACAACCTTGACTGCTAGTCTTCCTCTCTCCTCTGCATTTAATTTTACATTGCCATCCTCTTGCTCCCGGACTTCTGCAACCCACTTGATAAATTGTCTGAGATTTGGAGGTGGCATTTTAAATACTACAGAAAGTAATTCCCCTACATCTTTCACATCTTCTGTTTTCAAAAGTTGAGGAATTTCTTCTGTTAAGTATTTTATAACGTTATTCCATCCGTCATGCTGACAACTCTGCACAAAACAAATTTACGACCAGTGTTCAATATTAATTCTTAACACGTACATAGACGAGAAGACCTAAAAACATACACTTTGAAGTTTAGAGACTTATCAATCAACTTTGAAGTTTATGAAAAAGATGTACCAGAGTGTAAAGAATAGACGGTCCCCTGGGAAGCTTTGATAAAATCATGTACCTGCGTTAAAAAGAAAGCTTCAGAACAGAACCTACTCCACAAATAAGCAAGAGAAATGAGAATGTGGGTTTACCCTCTTGGTAGTCCTGTTGCACTGTCAATTGTGTTCATGGCATCCCACAGTAGGGTAAGTGGAACCCAGTGAGGAGGATACTTGAAACGCGCAACATCCAAGATGAGAACCATATCTTTTCCAGTATGATAACCCCCAATTGGTGAAAAATGACCACTTCCTGTCTGAAACCAATTATTATGTTAAAGACAAGCCTCAAATTAACTTCTATGACAAGTGATCAAATACACCACTTCTTCTTTGGAATGTTAAAAATTAACTATGAGATCCCACATCAATTGAAGAGGAGAACGAAACATTCCTTATAAGCGTATGGAAGCCTCTACCTAGCAAACACATTATAAAACCTTGAGGGGAAGTCTAGAAGGGAAAGCCCAGAGAGGACAATATTTATTAGTGGTGGGTTTGAGTTGTTACAAATGGTATCAAAGCCAAACACCAAGCGATGTGCTAGCGACGCTAGCCTCCAAAATGGATGGATTGTGAGATCCCACATTAGTTGGAGAGGAGAACAAAACATTCCTTATAAGGGTGTAGAAACCTCACTCTCCTTGGTAGACATTGAAGGGAAAGCTCAAAGAGGACAATATCTACTACAAGTGGACTAGGGCTCTTACATTAGTATTTTCTTATATATATATATATTAAAGTTCGGCTCATTGGTTTAGATTTACAAAACTATACACCTCTTCCAGTTACTACCGCTAATTTTGAGGACATATAGTAAGACCATTGGTGAAGATATATACTTCGATATACCTGCTTAAAAGCTCCTCTATGGTAGGAAGTGATCACATGACAATCCTCAGAAGATGAACATGACACGACATACTTGCGAAAATCGTCGATGGTGCTTTCATTTGCCCTAAAAGCTACCACTTTAGCACCATTGCAGCGAGCCAAACAAGCAACCTTGCCAAATGTGATACCATCAGTTTTGATCTTTGCTAAAGGTTCACAGCAGTCCAGCATAGTGTCATCAAACCATCTCCACGGACCTGAAGAAAACAAGAACAATCGTTTCATCAAACTTACATGAGTCCTGTTGCTATGAAGGTATATCCAAATCTTCTCTTTTCTTGCGTCTAAATATTGCTCATTGACAGAGAACAGTTTTGTCCTATCCAATTAGCAAAAAATAGCCAGGGCACCAAATAATCCTGTTTGGAACTGAAATTGCGAACGTTCTCCAAACTGGAAAAGGGACTTCCAGCATAGTATTAGAATGACTGAAAAGAAATATCAATGCATTGGTCGATATATGCATACAAGATACTGAAGCGGATACTACAAAATTGGTATGGGATTGTAATTCATCGATTGATAGTATTGCTAGTAGCAGATCCAATGAAAAATGGGCTCTCGATTAATAACGGAAAATAAGTATCGAATTTGGACTGACCTTTCCATTTTCTACCAGGATCAATAGAAAGAGCATTGAGGACAACGGCAAGGGTGGCAAGTCCACAAAAAGCAGGTTCCGATTGCGTTTGGTAGTAAGAAATCAACTTGAAAAACCCTTCCATGGTTCCATCTCCAAGCGCCTCAGTAAACAGACGCTGCAAGATTCATACAGCTAAAGTTAGTAAAAAAAAAAAAAAAAAAAAGATCTGAGGTGATGAAAGCACCTTTCCATCGGAAGAAGAAAAATCTATAGCCGGAGGAGAGGGAAGAACTCTGCGATAAAATCCGGCGACGGCCATTGTGGAAGAGAAAGATCGTCAACTTGGGTAATTCCGTAAGCAATCTATGGGGGAAGAAACTGGAAGAGGCTCGATTAGAATTTGGATACTCTTCATGGAAGCCTCCTGTTTTCTTCCATTTGTTATTCCCATTTTCTTTTCACCATGAACAGATCAGAAAGCGAAGACGACAGATTCGAGATTTTTTATTCTTTTTGAATCAAATTTAAGAGTGGGCTTATTACCGGTGGGCCCGCCTTTTTCTGTTTGAAAAAAACTAATTAAAATATAATTTTTGCTTTTGTATATATTCTAATGCTCTAAATTTGAAATTATACGAACCAAATTTAAAATTTATTAAAAATGAAATAAAATTAAAATACAAGATGTGGTATTTTAATCAAAATAGTTTCTCAAGGAGGACAAATTTTTTGCCCGTAGTCTATCAAGTTTGATAACCATGGTATTTAATTTTTAAAATTTGATAAATTCATTTATTTGAAGATAATTAGTAAGGTTAACTGTTAATTAAAATTAAAAACCTAATATTTAAGATATATTATCAAATATTTATTTATGAATGAAAATTAAATAAATTATTTTATTAAGTATAAAATTATTGAATTACATAACTATTATTTATTTATAAGAAAGTTCGACATTTGCAGACGTCTTAATTTTAAAGATTAATCGAAACAATTAAGTTAATTTTTTCATTGAATTGGGCCAACTCAATCTCAATGACAAACTAGTTTAATTTATACACAGGAAAAATAATCTACAGAAATAAATTAGTACCTGCCAACATTGTCAAAATTGGACCCCATATGGATGTTGAACACAACTCACTGTGGGAAACACTCGCTCTCTTTATTAAGACCAATCGAGAAGAGAATACAAGACACTCTGTAGAATACTTCTGCTTTTTATTGTTTTTAGATTTCTTGGATGAATAACCTAGGTAGGGTGGGGGTATTTATACTAAGAGTAAACAATCTATATTTAACCAATCTAAATCTAGACCTAACCGATTTGAATCTAGACCTAACAAATTGAATCTTTCTCCTAAAATATCTACATCTCTTTCTCCTAAAATCTCTACTAAAATAAATATACTGGGCTCGTACAATTAGGCTTGACTCTATTGGGCTAGTACAATTATTGGGCTTGACTCTATTGGGCTAGTGATGATATTTCAACACTCCCCCTCAGCACTAGTCCTCATTCGCTGCATCATGTTGAGCTGACAGCGAAAGCTCTCATGTTTGCTAGTATTCAACCCTTTTGTAAACAAGTCTGCCACTTGGTCATCTGTCTTGATCTGCTGCATCTCAATTTCTTCCTTTAGGACCTTCTCTCTAATGAAATGGTAGTGCACCTCCACATGCTTTGTTCTAGCATGAAACACTGGATTTTCTGCAAGGCGAATCGCAGATTGGTTGTCGCAAAGAAGTGATATTGGATAGTCAATTTTCTGGTGCAAATCTTCCATCAAGAGTTTTAGCCATGTACTTTCCTGGGCTGCTCCAGCCGCTGCTCTATACTCTGCTTCTGTAGTTGATAATGATACTGTTGGTTGTCTCTTGCTACACCAAGAAATTGTTCCCGAACCAAACTTGAACACATACCCAGTGGTTGACCTCCGAGTATCGTGGTCTCCTGCATAGTCAGCATCACAGTATCCAACTAGCTTGCAGTCTTTGCTTCTTTTGTACAAAAGACCATAGTCGATTGTACCTTTGATATATCTCAAGATCCGTCGAGCTGCATCCAGATGAGGCTTCTTTGGACTTTGCATGTATCGACTCATAACCCCAACTGCATACGAGATATCAGGTCGAGTTAAAGTTAGGTAGATAAGACTACCTACTAGTTGTCGGTACGTTGTTTCATCGTTCAACTCTTTGCCTTCATGTGCACAAATCTTGGCATTTATCTCCATCGGTGTTGAAACTTGCTTGCACTCTAACATGTTGAACTTCTGAAGCATGTCTCTGGTATACTTTTGTTGGCAGAGAAACAGTCCTTCATCTGTGCGATCAACTTCTAGGCCTAAGAAGTGTTTAAGCTCTCCTAGCTCTTTCATCTGAAAGCGTATTGATAAATTTTCTCTTGTTTGATAAATTTCTCTTTCATCGTCCCCGGTGATAATCAAATCGTCCACGTAGACCAACACAATTGTCAAATTTCCTTCTCTTTCTTTGATGAATAGGCTTGAGTCTGCATGCGCAACTGAATAACCACTTTGGGTAAGAAATTCAGCAATCTTACCATACCAAGCTCTCGGTGCTTGTTTCAGTCCATAAAGAGCTTTTCTAAGCTTGCATACATAATTAGGATTAGCTGCACTCTCAAATCCCTTTGGTTGGTTCATATAAATCTCCCTGTCTAGCTCTCCGTGCAAGAAGGCATTCTTCACATCCATTTGCCACAGTTTCCAATCTTTACTTGCTGCGAGTGCTAGCAGAACTCGTACGGTAGTAATCTTTGCCACTGGACTGAATGTTTCATCATAATCTAGTCCATATTGTTGAGAAAATCCTCGAGCCACGAGTCGAGCCTTGTATCTCTCGATTGATCCATCCGGTCGACGCTTTATTTTATAGACCCACTTGCAAGAGACGGGTTTGATATCTCCTAGTCTTGGCACTAGTTCCCAAGTTTGATTATGCTCCAAGGCTATAATTTCTTCCTCCATCGCTTTCTGCCAAACCGAGTTTTGTGATGCTTCTTCATATGTCTCTGGTTCGTAAACTCTATCTTCTACAATAGCTGCATTTGCATACTTAGGATTTGGCCTTCGGATTCTATTTGATCGCCTAAGTTGTTGATGTGTTGTTTCATTTTTATCAGATTCGCTTGATTGAGTCACCTCCTGCTTGTCAATATCAATGTCGCTTGGACTTTCAGATGCATCGAAATTTGATTGAATTTGTGTAGTTTGCTCCCCCAGCTTCTGTTGTAGAATTTCTTCAATGTTTGAATCTGATAAGACTTTCTTCTCCGAGGACCACCATGTAGATGCTTCATCAAAAACTACATCTCTTGATGTATAGTATTTTCCACTTGTTGGATCACAGCACCTCCATCCTTTTCTTTGATTGTCGTATCCAACAAATACACACTTGACTGCTTTCTTGTCAAACTTGCTACGTAGATGGTCAGGCACAAATACATAGCAAACACAGCCAAATACTCGGAAGTAACTAATTGTAGGTTTCATATCCCATAGTATCTCAAATGGTGAGACGAACCCTAGCTTTGGTTGAGGAAGCTTGTTGATCACATGGGCAGCAGTTCGCATAGCTTCAGCCCAAAATCTTCCTGGAACGTTCTTTGCGTGTAACATGCTTCGACAGGTTTCTGCAAGGTGTCGATTCTTTCTTTCTGCTACACCATTTTGTTGTGGCGTGTTGGCACATGTAAATTGACGTCGTATCCCACACTCGTGTAAATATTGATCGAACTCATCTGACGTGTATTCTCCGCCATTGTCTGAACGTAGACAACGAATCTTCGCTCCTACTTCTCCTTCGACCATCATCTTGAATTCTTGAAACTTTGAGAACGTGTCAGACTTTTCTTTCATAAAGAAAATCCACACATATCTTGAGTAGTCGTCAATAAATGTCACCATATACCGCATTCCGCTGATCGATGCTTGTTTGACTGGGCCGAACAAATCAGAGTGAACTAACTCTAATGGTTTCTTTGCTTTGAAACTTGACTCTTTGTATGGTAATTGATGAGCTTTACCATACTGACATCCAGCGCAGACAACGTCTGTTTTGACTTCCAGTTGTGGTAGACCTTTGAGCATAGATTTCTCCATAATCAGCTTCAACTTATGGTAGCTAATATGTCCCAATCTTGCATGCCATAGATCTGTCGTCTCATTCTTTCGGGTCTTGTCAACATAGGCAGACTCTGCAGATAGAACGTAGACAGACTCCACTCTTCGTCCTTCTATCGTCGGCTTTCCTATTATCTTAACATCTTGATAAACTTTTACATCTTCTGGCCCAAACAAGACATAGCTTCCTGATGTTGTTAGTTGTGACACTGACAACAAGTTCTTCTTTATACCCGGTACATGATAAACATTATGTAGCGACACTGTATCAGACTTATTGCCAGGCATGATTGTCGTATTGCCGATTTGAGCAATTGATAACTGTGTGTTATTTGCTGTACGTACCATACGACTTCCTTTGTACTCTTTCTTGTCTTGCAATTTTCTCTGATCGCCAGTCATGTGATTTGAACATCCTGAATCAACGATCCAGTCATTCTCATAGTTGATATGGTCTTCCATTGTCGCCATGAGTGCTAGCTCGTCTTCTTCTATGGGACATAGTACCTCTGCATCCCATTCATCTTCTATCTTCTTTTTGGATATTGCCACATTGTTTTCAATGGTCTTTTTCCTGGACCAACAATCTCTAGACATATGGCCCTTTTTCCCGCAGTTATAGCAAATACCACCAAATCTCGTTCTTTGAAAACTCTTGTTGTCGTTCTTCTGAGCTCTCTCAGGTTGTGCAATCCCTTGGTGGCTTCTTCTTTTGTCACCATTGTATCCACGTCTGGTAGACGGCCTATTATTGCTCTGACTTTCACTCGTGTAGAGTGCTTCTTCACCCTTCAACGTGAAGCCTCCCATTTGTTTAGCCATGGCTTCTTGGCTGGCTAACAAATTTTCGAACTCTACCAGTGATGGTTGAGTGGGCCATCCTTGTACAGCAGCAATGAAGCTTCGATATTCTGGTCGCAATCCGTGGATTATAATCCTCTTCATTCGAGATTCTACAATGGCGGACTTTGGGTCTAGTTCAGTAATCTCCCGACAGATCGATTTGACCTTGTGGAAGTACTGAGCAATCGTCATATCACGTTGTGAAATTGACAACAACTCATTCTCCAGAAGTTGTAGTCTCGTATCATTCTTCTTTGAGAACAACATCACGAATGTGTCCCATGCTTCTTTCGGTGTCTTGTCATCCCAAATATGTTCTAACATCTCTTCTCCGATGGTGGTCTTCAAGGCAAACATTGCTTTGCCTGCTTTGATTCTCCATTTGCGCAAGGCGTCGTTAGAATCCTCCTCTGGCGGCGTAGTTTCACACCCGCCAACGATCTCCCAAAGATCCTGTCCTTGTAAATAGGACATCATGCATGTTGCCCACGTGTTGTAGTTGTTGTTGTTGAGTTTCTTAATTCCTCCAACGATTTGGAAATCACTCATCGTGTTGGCCATACCTCAGTAATACCAAACAAGTTCTTTTGACACAAGACTTGCAGAGTCACAGACTTCTCACGACACAAAAGAAACTCACTCACCACTAATCTCAAGAAATCGTTTCTGATGTGGAAGATCAGGCAGAGCTGCAACCACAGAGCATACTAAGGATTCCAAGAGATCAGATAACCTACACTAACCTCGCTCTGATACCAAATGTTGAACACAACTCACTGTGGGAAACACTCGCTCTCTTTATTAAGACCAATCGAGAAGAGAATACAAGACACTCTGTAGAATACTTCTGCTTTTTATTGTTTTTAGATTTCTTGGATGAATAACCTAGGTAGGGTGGGGGTATTTATACTAAGAGTAAACAATCTATATTTAACCAATCTAAATCTAGACCTAACCGATTTGAATCTAGACCTAACAAATTGAATCTTTCTCCTAAAATATCTACATCTCTTTCTCCTAAAATCTCTACTAAAATAAATATACTGGGCTCGTACAATTAGGCTTGACTCTATTGGGCTAGTACAATTATTGGGCTTGACTCTATTGGGCTAGTGATGATATTTCAACAATGGACACACTAATTCACTTGAATCAACACACCAAAAATCTTCTGCAATGGCCACTTCAGTCTTCAGCTAACTGTTACAAGGTTGTGATATCTTGATCGACACTTTGATTTGGGGCCTCATATAAATAAATTCAATTCTCCACAACAATTTTTGTAGGCACTGTTTGATTAAGGGAAGGAAGAGTAACTGGCCTGGCTTCTCGCTAAGAAGGAGGTGGTGCACTTAGATCCAGATCGACCTTGTTCTCCTGGTATTTTTTGAGAAGATGGAGCTGACGCCGCAAGTGCAAAACCTGGAATCACATACACCAAAACTGAAATATCTGAACTTTGCCTTTATAGGTTTGTGACATTCATAGCTATTATGGCTACCGCAGAACTCATGGAAACTAACTAAGATTGTATCAGTTGGCATCCAAAAAGAATAAGAAAAAGAAAAAGAAAAAGAAAAAGAAAAATAAGACATTTTCAATAAATATTTACTCAAAATAAAACCAAGACTGGCCTTCGAGCTAGTTTGAAGGAATCTTCTATGGCGAGTTTGGTTATCGACATGTTGAATTGTAGTTTCCATATACCCTCACAAATACCATGGACTAAAGCTCTAAACTCAACTTCAGCACTACTACTTGCCACTGTATTTTGTTTTTTGCTTCACCGGGTCACTAGGTTGCCTCCAAGATAATTCATGTACAGTACTATCGGCCCAATTGGCATCATCAATAGAAACTTCAACCTACAAATAGATGACCATGCTTTCTAAACCATATACCTTTACCTAGGGCTCATTTTCAAATATCTCAAAACCAAGAAACATCATGAACTGACTTTCCCATGATCACTGCAAAGGTAATATATAGTTGTGTGTGAGACAAATAAATGTGTTTTCCCACAACTGTTTGATATTTCTCCTTATCTTTGACCTATTCACTTGTTGCACCTTGCAACTTCTGATTCGGTATCTCTATTCCATACATATTCGGTTATGAACTTTTTGAAATAAATAAAGCGTAAACACGTGGCTTCAAGTTTATCAGTAACATACTTCTTCCAAACAGCAAGAGATCATTTTTTTTGATTCAGTAAATTCCATTCCTAGAGGAATATTACTTTAAAGTTCTCTGCGTAAGACTCTATTGTATTTGCACTAGAAAACTATTGGTTATTATTACTCTCTTACCAATTTTATTCCCCTTTGAATTTGCCTGCCTTCCATGAATTTTCTAGTAAGCTTCATGAGTGTGACAAGGTTTATTATACGAGGTTTCTTGTTCCTTTACCTTGATGGTTTGAAGCTTTATTAATAGTTGCTTCGATTACTTCAACAATATTGCTTATAATTTTCCAACCAAGCATAAGGTTCCAACACCTCTCCCTATCATGGAATTTCAGGAAAAAACTGCACCAATTGATGGAAGTGGATTTCTACCAATATTCCAAACCAGACCTCATAGAATTCAAGATTCAGGCAATCAAGATATTTGTAAATGCGACCATCTTCTACAATTTTTCGATGATGCTTAGGTCTTCAGTGAATTTCCATTCATAAGTATTTAAGAGATCAAAGACTAGCCAAAACCATTTCATTGAATCAAGAATTTGGTAATTATATCCACTCCTGGTTGATTTTTTGCACAATTTTAAAGTAAGTTCAAAGGCATTTGACCTCAAAGTGTTCATATGTATATTTATGGGGAACATTAAGTCAGATATTTATGGAAGCAATATGAATAGATATGAATCACTATGAAGACCTATTAGCATCAAGTGCCACATGTCGTAAAAAAGTAAGGAAGCTTGGCAAGAGGACAAAAAAAATAGCCTTAGCTTGGGAAGAACAAAAAGAAAAGATAGGAAGATAATAGTTACCTCTTCTTGAAGCAAGGTGGGAAAATTTTCCGTGCAAACAAGTTTCTGTAGTTCCCGCAAAAGCTTCTCTTCTTTTATACCAATCCATGTTTCCGCGGGCAAGGCAAGAAGAAGTGTTGTCAACACATCACTAGTGGCTGGATGAATCCCGATTCCATTTTTCGAGCCAGAAAAGCAGCATCCAGATCTTACTTGAGATGATGATGGAACCAACATGTCAAACTCCTGTTCATCGTTGCCATTAACAACCATTCCACACACAACTGTAACAGGCTTGTCGCCATTAGCACTGAAGCATCTCACACATGTTTCACGACAGCAATAACCAGCTGAGACGCCTGCATTCCCGTTCAATATTTCTGCTCCTTGGCAACATACACCCGCAGCAATCTCAGGCAAATTGTTTTCATGAGACAATGTGACCATCTTGTGGCACGAACTTTCTAGAGACAGACATTGTCCTACGTGTTTGAAAAGGTCAGTCTCCTGTACCTGTTTCAACACCTCTTCCTGCAAGCAAAATGGCAAGCTCTGGTAAGAACACAGATAGGTATATCATAGATCTAGTAACAAACGGCGAGGCAAGTATATGACCAACACCTTCAGAGCAAGCCTTGCTTTCTCCTCTGGGCTTAAACTTTGACCACTATCTTCTGTCCTTCGGACCTCAGCAATCCACTTGATAAAATCACTATAATTTAAGGGCAGTGATGCAAAAATAACAGTTAAAACATCCTGTGTGTCTTTAAGGTCCTCTGACTTCAAGAGAAGAGGAACATCATCCATCAAGTACTTCGCTATGTTAACCCAGTCCTCATGTTTACAGCTCTACAAGAAGTTCCGGAGTACAATTATTGTTGGCAGAAATAACCTTATTATGCATTGGATAATCGTTTGTCGCAGCATGCATCTAATTGGGACTAAAGATTGATCTTGGTTTATCCAGATCAACTTTAAAATGAAACGAACTTAATAGCTTCAAAAACGTAAAGTCTAATAAAATATAAGCTTTATTTTATAAGCCTCTACATGTAGTAGAGCCAATAATGTTAATATGACATATTGAAGATGGAAAAACAAAGGGAGAAAGTTGGTTCCATTAATCCATTCGTAAAACAAAATAGCCTTCTATTTTACTAAATAGAACAAAAAGTGAAGCGAAGGGGCAGAATTCCTTGACAAGGACCCCTTTTTAAGGGTGAAGCAGTGAAACATCAAAGCATTGGGAAACAAAAGCCAAAGTAGGGCCCAATAACCCAAAAGTTCTCACAGAAAACAATTTGAGGCTACTAGCCACTTAATCCACTTCAGACACTGGCACAGCGCACTCTCAATATTTAGCAGTATATATATTACTAAGGCAGATATAATAAATTTCATTCCATAGCCAATTCCGTATGCTAAATTCTAATGTGAACCAAAAATTTCGATTTTTTTATACTTTCAGATATCATACAATAAAGCTTTAATTTAGACAAAAAGAGAAGTAGCCCTGAAAACAGAAGATGAATGGCATATATCAATCCATCGATATTCAAAATGAAGGATAAGAGTTTTGGCTCAGAGCAACAATGCAAACTGTTAAGAACTCTATCCATTCGACAAGATTACGTCAAAATCAAAAGAGTATCTATTACTAACAATAAAAAAATGTCTTCTATGGAAAAAATAGATCAAAAGGGTAAAGTTTATCAATTCCTAAATCCCTATTGTATAGTCCGTGCATATTAAAAATGTGTATATTAATACTATACACAATCACACATCTCATAATCAAAGACATTTCTAAACTGTTGTATGGAGTATGGAGTATTCAGTAATTACTTCGGCATAATGAGGTAACTAAAACAACCTGCAGCTTCCATAAACAATTGACATAAATAAATATACCTCTTAGGCTCTTAAAATTAGCATGCGTACAAATCACAGAAAAAGAGTACTAGAGTTAAAAAAAAAAAAAGAAAAAAAAGAGAAAAAAACCTTCAACCTAACCAATTGGGATTTGATGGGATATCATATAAAAATCATCTTGATCACAATTAGTAACACCAATATTGACTCAGACGAGGATCATAGGGAATAAGATATCTTCTGGCCTCTTGATGTTGTCAATGTGCTTGTCACTAAATAATTTGACAGACAAGCACCTTCATAATATAAATATGTCATGGAAATAGTTATTTCAAATTATTTTGGTGACTATCTGTTCATCACGCAAGCAAAATGGAAGAAAAGTAGAAAAAATATTCCACGTGTTGAAAAGTGCCTACAGTGGTGCTTGTGCTTGTTTCTCTCACCTATGTGTAAACTTAAAAAATCATAAAATTGTCATCTCACCAGAGTATAGAGCAATCCTGGCTCCCTGTGCGGCCTAGATATAAGCATGAACCTGATGAGCAAAGGACAACAAAGGTTTAAAGGTAAATGCATATTATTTGCAATAGGTACGAGCAACATTAGGGAAATAATTGACTAGACGCAATCTTATCAAGAAGTAGGATGAACTTCATAAACCAATAAATCCATCAAATGCTAATCTCATTATTTACATATGCGTCAAGAACTTTCCTTCGAACTCATAATGCAACAAGAAAGTGAACTGAAAAAGGAGCCAAACCAAAGGTCAGAAATGCTTTCAAAGCAGCATATCATTAAATTCCTCCATGTTGACATTCTAGAAAATTTGTGTCCCTTGATATTCTATTCATGAAGTTGATAATTCCACTCATTTTACATTTTTCCAACTAAGAAATTCAAGATAATTTATTTCCCTCCTTTTATACAGCGAAGTAACTTCTATTTCATCAGAAACCTAAACTACAAAAGTACAAGCGGGAAGTTCATAAAGGACAACAAAATCTAGCCAAATAATTTTCATCCAACAGCTGTATTCACAAATCGCATATCCATTATGGTCATATTATATCTCATGTAGGAATCTTGTTAATTTCCTCTCAAGATCATTGTCGAATATCAAACAAGCACAGACCCTTTCATTTCATCATTAGAATGAACTCTATGTTGGGTTGTATAAAGACTTTGATGATGACCTTATTACTTATTTAAACATTTGTTATTATTATTAAAGAAAGAATATGCCTCAAGAACTAGTCTCATAAAATCTAATAAAAAAAGATTTTATATAATGAGACTTTTATAAGATTTTATAAAATTTAAAAATTCTGTGCATTCCCCTTCTTCATTGTCACATGAACCTTTTATAACGGCTCACATTAAAGAGAGAGAATAAGGAATAATGCAGATCAACCAATGGAGTGAAACAATTAAGATATGCTCCTCTATATGTGCCTACCTGTCTGTGATCATTAGATACAAGCATTTCATTCAAGCACAAAGCCAATTACCCTCTATGTTGTCCTGTTGCTTCATCCACGTGTTCCATACCTTTCCAAAGAAGTTTGACCGGAACCCAGTGAGGAGGATACTTAAAGCGTGCAACGTCCAAAATAAGTGCCATGTCCTGCCCAACATGATAGCCACCAATAGGCGAAAAATGACCAGTTCCTGTCTGCACGACAAGAACAAATGTTTATCAATTCTTTAAGCGAATAAAGTTCATTGCATCAAGATTTATGAGTATATTGTCAAATTGAGGATACTCATATTACAGGTTTTGTTACCTACTGTAATGATCCAACATATCTCTTTGATCATTATTGTCAATTGAAAAAGCACCTTAACCAATGAATAAGTGAGAGATTGTGAAAAGAAAGTATTAAATATATCAACACTAACCTGTTTCAATGCTGCTCTATGATAAGACGAAATGATATGACAATCATCAGAAGTGGAGCATCTATGTATGTATTTACGAAAATCATCTATAGTACTTTGGTTTGTTCGAAAGGCTTGGACTTTAGCTCCAGCACAGTTAGCCAGACATACAAGTTTTCCCAATGAGATGCCTCTAGCTTTAACCTTTTCCAATGGCTCACAGCAATCCAACATAGATTCATCAAACCATCTCCAAGGTCCTTTCACAAAAATAGAAAGTATGAATACACTTTTACTGACTACGCTCAAATTCATATAGTGATCAACATGAAAATAAAAGGATGGCCATAGAGTTTCAGTAACAAAAGCTAAGGAATGGGAAGGTAGTTCAACTTAGCCAAGCTCAAGGATTTCTTCTTCTTATTCATTGGGATTCCTTAATAATTATTGTAACATGAAACAGAACTTTTTATTGAAGACTAAAAAGTGAAAGAGACTAGACAGGAGAATAAAACATAAATGAAAGGGCACAAGAAAAAGACGAAATTGGCTGAAAATTCTGAAAGCCGAGCAGAAAGCCCTCAAATGTCCCCCCATACCTCTGTAATGGTCTACATCATCAACACGAGATAAATGCTACTGATAATGTTGTATAATCTGGTTAGTCATTTGGATGCCCTAATTTTCATTTCCCAAAGGCCATACCAGACTCGCAGTTTTACTGTCATTATTTTCATATACCGATGCTTCTTAAGAGATTCTATCAAAACAGATTTAGCTCCCTTTCGTTTGGAATTATCCCATCAATGACTCAACTAGGTTTCCTTAATACACTTCGTTTAAATGCACATCTTATCTATAAAATGAACGGAGGCAAAAACTTCTCACAGTACCTTTCCATTTTCTTCCTGGATCAATGGCAAGTGCGTTTAATACCATTGATAGGCTGGCCAGACCACAATATGCAGGCTCTGATTGTGTTTGAAAATAAGAGATTAACCTATAAAAACCTTCCATAGTCCCATGTTGAACAGCTTCTATGAAGAGTTGCTGCAGTTCCAAATGATGCATATAATTAGTGGGAGTCAATATTTTCCTTTTACTGATTGTGCTGGATAAATGATCGGTTGAGAAATCCCAACTTCAAACGTTTTAAGTTGTAAGGACAGATTGTAATAAGTAGGTATTATTTTCATAAGATTATAACCAAAAAAACTCTGTGTTCAGATGGCTATATATACAAGCGTTTCAATTATTTAATATTCATATACGACGTACGAAAAGAGAATTGAGGCAAGATATCAAGTGATCAGAGTAAATTATTTTTCGTACTTCAGAAATATATCCGTTGGCAACACAGTAGGCATCACAATATCTAAGGACGAGGAATGATTTACATGATGACAACAAAATTAATTTCCTATAAGTGTAACAACTTACATTCAATCCGAACCCTCGTCTCATTAAAATAACTTCTAATCTAGAAAGCAAGAACTTCAATTCGCTATTTAGGTGCATCACATTCGTTTCTTGAGACTTCGATTCAGTTATCATTGGTATACAATCATGATTTCAAAAAGCAACCTACGACCAGAAAAACTATCCACCTGGAAAGCGGCAATCGATTAACAGAAGCATCAACAGAAATTCAAGGATTAAATTGAGTTAATTTATAAAATGCTGCACATTAGCGAACACACTCAAATCCACATTCCAGAAAATGAAAAGTAGGGACTCGAGACTAAATTTTAACGAAGGGAGAGATAGTAATGAACACCAGTGGAGGAACAACGGCGAGAAAAATGAAAGATAACAGAGCAAGCAAGTACATACCTTCCCTTCGGAGGAAGCGAAGTCGATCGCTGGAGGAGAAGGAAGAATCCGCCTATACAACCCCGCCATAGCCATTTTCAAAAGTTTCAGAAATTTGATGACAAAATGAATCAACGACAAACACTCGAACAATGAAATTGGTAAGTGAATCGTCTCTTCTCGCGGCTGACTGAAGACTCTGGTTTTGCCGCTAAATTTGACCCAAAACCAAACCAAACCAAAGCAATGCCCCGTACGACCGAAGGCCACGACAGTCAATACTAATGACTTTTTCACCCGCTCTTTACCACTTAATTTACCGCTAATGACAATAAATACAAAACGGAAGACCGAAGGCCACGACCGCCGTCCTAATTTACCGCTTAAACTCATAGTTATTTTATTTTGTATGAATTATGCATTATAGTCAATAAGGCATGCGATCAGGCCCAGCCCACGACCCAATCATTTCCGAGCCTCAGCTTAGGCGCGCGTCCAAGCTGTCTTCTCACACCAGCTTATGATCCCAGCTCCTCCAAGTCGATAGCTCGTCCGTTTGGCACGCGTGCAGCTCAAGAACGGCTCACCTCCAAGATATCAGCTTGGAGTCAGCTCACGGCAGCTCCAGACAACTTGTTAGCTTGTTTTACCGGTTCAGTGCGTTCTCGACGTAATTGAGCCGGTTCAGGGCTTAGGATTGATTTTAAGATAATTAAGTTATAATTTTTATTTTTATGGCCGATTTCATGAAATATCACAGACAAAATTGGATTCGGTTGAGGAGAATTTATGAACGGTTAGCTAAAAGAAACTTAATTAAATTGGATTGGATTAAAATTGTTTGATACAGTAATAACACTTAAAATTATGAATTATTGAATTGAACGATTAAATATGTATGAATTTCTAGGATATTTTGTTTAAAGAAATGTGAAAATGGTTTGAATTCTAAGGTGTCTGACACATGGTGGCTTCCAGGGATACAGATATGGATTCCGTTCCAGAGTTGGGACCAGGATCCGAATGCGAGGACTTGTATGTATCCGCAGCATGGGGCTTGGATCTGCTCGTTTTCTTCCGCCGCCCGTGTCTTGGGATGTCTGGGAGGCTTGAGTTGGGCGACTCATTCTGAGCCTCCCCTCCTGGGCTGCTTTGTTTTTTGTCGGAGCTCTCCTTAGACTTGGAAGACCGTCTTGCTTTGTGTCTCTCTGATCTTTCTTGGCTGGTCGGAGACTCACTTGACGACCGGTGTTTTGATGATTTAGGCCGCACGTCCGGCGATCTGTTTGAACCCTTTTCTCCACTTTCGCTTTCATCTAAACCATTTTATAAATTCGTGAGATCAAATAGACACAAATCTCAGACCCTAATTTAACCCTAAAATAATATCCTAAGTGTTTAGCTTACCTTCAGAGGCCTGCTTCGTAGAAACGTCGTCTTTGTCTTTGATGTTTGCACGGGTAGAACGATTAAAAGGAGCAGATGTAATCGATGGTGCCATACTAAATTCATTCATCTGAAAAGTTAGCCAACATGGGATTATTAAATCGTATTTAATCATAACTCCATGGGATGCAATTTTGGAGTGAAATAAATAAAAATGTTACCCAGCTTGGATTATTGGCAGAAGGACCATCCCAGCCAATATGGGCAACATGCTTGACATCTGTTGGAAGCCCAATTTGCATTTCAGCTTCTTTCTCATTCTCTGTAAACCCAAAATCTCAAATATAAACTCTATTTTGATGCACTTTTGATACGAATAAAAAGCAATAAAATGTTTGAACTTGCCAAATATTTGAGATATATGTTTGAGGCCCTTTAGAAGCCCCTTCACTTTGCCGTTTGACATCAAGAATATGTATGATTTAGAGGGTTTGAAGTGGCTGGGAGGACTCGATCAAGGCTGAATGGGTTTATGAACAAGAACAAGAAAACCCAGTTGGATGAAGAAATGTTGTTCAAGCAAAAGAAAAGGCAAGCATGTTGATGCTGTTCATCGTCTGGTTCTTCTTGTTTTGTTGAGGAAAAACATGGAAAAAATGGTTTTCAAAAGGTTTGGATTGGCCAACTATATGTCTATTCCAGAGAAGCTTATCGATAATTTGAGCTGCATGTCCCATTATTGTTTCCTTCTTTTTACGTCCACCAATCCAAATTTTAGGCATAAAAATGTTTTGTAATTTTAACCTTTTTAACTTCTATTATTAGCTTAAAGTTTGACACCTCTGCTACTCACCATTACAGCCTGTGTTAGCTGCAACTCTTACCTCCTCATCCAAAAACAACAATTTCTTCTAAATTGGTTCCTAAAAGTTTTAATAATTCTAAAAAGTTTGCTCATCTAATATAAAACTCTAAACCCTAATTTTAGGTCCAGAGAAAAAAAAAAAATCAAGTCATGAGCGGCAAGATTCGAACTTGCACGAGCAAAGCCCACATGATTTCTAGTCATGCCTGATAACCACTCAGACACACCCACAAGATGCAAGTTAAGCTATCACAAGAGCTTGCGTCGGGAGAAAGTTTGTTGATGTAATACAAAACTCTAAACCCTAATTTTAGGTCCGGAGATAAAAAAAAATATCAAGTCATGAACGACAGGATTCAAACTTGTGCAGGCAAAGCCCACATGATTTCTAATCATGCCCGATAACCACTCTGACACACCCACAAGATGTAAGTTAACCTATCACAAGACCTTGAGTCGGGAGAAAGTTTGTTGATGTAATACAAAACTCTAAACCTTAATTTAGGTCTAGAGAAAAAAAAAATCAAGTCGTGAGTGGCAAGATTCAAACCTGCACAGGCAAAGCCCACATGATTTCTAATCATGCTCGATAACCACTCCGGCACGCCCACAAGATGCAATTTAAGATATCACAAGACCTTGCATCGGGAGAAAGTAAGATGCGAGTTGAGCTATCACAAGACGTTTGCTTATGTAATACAAAACGCTAAACCCTAATTTTAGGTCCGAAGAAAAAAAAATCAAGTCGTGAGCAAACAGGATACAAAGCTTTGCAGGCAAAGCCTATATGATTTCTAGTTACGCCCGTTAACCACTTCGACACGCCCACAAGATGTGAGTTGAGCTATCACAAAGCCTTGCGTTAGGAGAAAGTTTGCTAATGTAATACAAAACTCTAAACAAGATTCGAATATGTGCGGGTAAAGCCCACGTGATTTCTAGTGATGCCTGATAACCACTCCTTTGTACCCACCAGAGTTGAGCTTTCACAAGGCCTTGCGAAAGTTTCTTCCGCCATTTGTGGTGTGCTGTTAGATAAGCTTACTTTTGCCCTAATTCAAATATGTGTGTTCCAGCTATCACAATCAACATATTACATTTACGAAGAAAAGAAAGCTTTAAATGGAATTTTGTTGATATTCAAACTCTCATTATTTTCACATGAAATAACAATTAGTATATTAATGTTAAAGTGTGTACTCATTTTATGATTCTTCATTTAATATTATATTAGTTAAACTATAATTTAAATACTAAATATAATTTTAGCACAATAAAAAAATGAAACGAAAAGTAATTTTGTATGCTAGCTAATTAAGTGATATTACGTTATTTACAACATAAGAATTGACGTCCCATAAGTTATTGTATTTGTTCCCATAATTGCATGAATTAATGATTTATATTACTTTTGAAACGAGAATTAAAATCTGCAGCACCAATGGAAATTTCATCTTTTCTTTAGAAGTTCCGTGTTCGATTCCTGGCTGCGGAAGTTTCTTTTTTAATTTTTTTAAATTTACTTATCCCAGTTTGGGCTTTTGGGCTCGAAGAAAGCCCAGAAAAGTTTAATGACCACTGAATACGATTCTAGCTAGAAATTAAATAGAGGGTGACAATATTCATTAAATTTAGTAATTTTTTTATTTACTCATTTTTCTCTAATTTTTCTACTTATTCAAAAATAAATTACACCATAATTTTGTCTTCGATTATGATGGGATTTTAGAAGGAAAATATAGCTTTTTATATTGATATATATATATTTCTAAATATAGCTTTTTATATTTTTATATTTTTTAATTATAACCTTTTTGATGGATGAATATTAAAAGGAATTCTTGCTATAATATTAGATTTTAAGTAAGTAATAGCAAATCTTGGAAGCTAAGTCGTTTGACGTGTATCACGTGTTTCAACCATTCTTGCACATAACACACCATCACGTGAATCATGCTAAAGCAAGGGATGATGTATTCTTTCCAATAATTGTTAATACAAAATAATAGTAATAATAATAATAATATATTGTTATTTTCATAAAAGATTAGGGACTAAAACTAAAATTGAATCAACAAACAACTAAATTGATATTTTCTATTACATGGTTATAGACCGATATTAAGACTAAATTGCTATTTAATAAAAGATTAGGGGCTAAACCAAAAATTATTTGTTTTTTTAACTACCTTCTTACTCCTCTCAATACAAGTGTTATAAAATGGAAGTAGAGGCATAATGAGCATAAGAGCAGAGTCATGGATCGTTGGGTGACAGCACTTGGCGCCCTGGCCATCGGCGCAGTCTTCCATTTTGTGTTGAGTCGTATCTTGTGGCGCAAACAAAAGCTCCCTCCTGGTCCGCTTGCCTTGCCGCTTATAGGCAACCCCATATGGCTCTTCAAGCCACTTTCCGAGCTGGAAGCCACCCTCCGCCATTACCATTCCAAATACGGTCCAGTAATCACCCTCCACTTCGGCAACACTCCTTCCATTTTCATCGCCAGCCACACTGCCGCTCACCAGGCCTTGGTTCAAAACGGCGCTGTCTTCGCAGACCGCTTCCCTATCATGGAGACTGTCAAAATCATCACCAGCAACCAACACAACATCAGCACCTCCTTCTACGGCCCCACCTGGCGCATCCTCCGCCGCAACCTCACCTCCGAGCTCCTCCATCCATCTCGCTTGAAGGCTCACTCCCCTTCTCGCAAATGGGTCTTGGATGATCTCCTCCATCGCCTCATCCAACATTCCCACCCCACCTCCCCTGCCCAATCCCCTGTTCCTGTAACACTCGTGGACCATCTTCGCCACGCCATATTTTGCCTGGCTGCCGCTATGTGTTTTGGGGAGAAATTTGATAGCAAATTAATCGATGAAATACAAGAATCTCAACGTGGGGTTTTGTTGAACATCGGTAAATTCAATGATCTTAACTTCTGGCCTCCGAAATTGGGGAAAATTTTGTTCCGGAAGCGTTGGGAAGAGATTCGTCAGCTACGTAAGCGGCAAGAAAATCTGTTACTTCCATTGATCAATGCAAGAAAGAAGATAGTCAAAGAGAAGGGCGGATCAGGTGATGGGAATAAGAACCCGATTCCGTACGTTGATACTCTGTTTGATTTAGAAATTGCAGAGAACAACGACGAGAAGAGGAAGAGAAAATTGGTGGAAGATGAACTGATAACTTTATGCACAGAGTTCATAGACGCCATCACGGACACTACGGTGGTGTCATTGCAATGGATAATGGCGAATTTGGTGAAATACCCAGAAATTCAAGAGAAGCTGTTCAAGGAAATGAAAGAAGTGGTGGGAGAGAGTGCGAAGGAGGAGATAGAAGAGGAGGATTTGCAGAAGATGACATATCTGAAAGCCGTAGTGCTTGAAGGGCTACGGCGGCACCCGCCGGGGCATCTGCTGCTGCCTCATACAGTGACGGAGGACAGTGTTCTGGAGGGCGGATACAGGGTGCCAAAAGGAACGTCGGTGAACTTTATGGTTGCCGACATGGGTTGGGACCCGAAGGTGTGGCCGGATCCGATGGCGTTCAAGCCGGAGAGGTTCTTGACGGATAGGTCGGAGGGTGGGGTTGAGGTGGAAGTTGATATCACAGGGAGTAAGGAAATAAAGATGATGCCGTTCGGGGCTGGGAGGAGGTTCTGCCCGGGATTCGCTTTGGGGTTGCTGCATTTGGAGTATTTCGTTGGGAATTTGGTGTGGAACTTCAAGTGGACGCCTGCCGGAGATGTTGATCTGTGTGAGAAGCTGGAATCTGCTGTCACCATGAAACAACCGCTGCTCTCCTACTTGTCGCCGAGGGCGGTTTCTAGTTAGCTTCATACGTTTGGAAGATATGCATCTTGTGTGTATGATGTCGTACTATTTCGTCCACGTCCACGTCCTCTGTTTTATTATCGTAAGATTTAGACCGACTTAATTTCAAATAATAATGTATTAGTTTGATTGGTCGAAATTAATTTTTTAATTAATGCTTTGTGTTCACAAATCAAAATCTAGAATTAACAGGAACATCATTAAATCAAACTCTAATATCATATGTATGGGTATTAGAGTCTTTCCATTAAAGTGGTCCGTTGAACCTTACATCTAAATCAAGTAGAACAGAGAATGAAGCAAATCTAAACCAGCCAAAACTGTATTAAAATTGGGTTGTGCATTGTTGAACTAGACCAAAATCAATCGAACTAACCCAGAAGTCGCCTAAACCAAGTTTCTTAAGTGCAAACGAATTGGATTATGGGGATTTGTTGAGTCATGTGGTGTTGCTGGCCATTGTCTTGAGTTGTCGATGCTGAAAAACTCACTTGAGAGGAAATACTAGCGGCGAAGGACGATGAGTTAGACATTAATAAATATTTAAAATTTAGAATAAACAAACAAATTAAGATTTTAAAATTTAAAATTTATGCTA